AGTCAATGGCTTGGATAAAATGCAATATTTACATATACAAATCATAATCCCTATAAGATGAATTGAGAGCCACATTATATGAATAAGTGTTTACCATGGTTTGTAATTAAATAGATAGCTCGATGATGGCCCATCTCCTGGAGGATCTGTAGAAGGTCACCGACGGTCTTGTTTTTCTGTGCCCAGGACCAAAGTAATTCTCTTGTTCCACTTTTACCTTGATCTACATATTTTTCAATATGACGAACATCCAGCCAGCTGCTTGAAAGTCGTTCCGCTGTGGAAATCACAATAAACAAAGAATAGTTAAATGTACTTTTATTGAAATACTTGTTTTTATGTAAACTGTATGTCTTATTTCACTTTATTTGTAACGTTTTATTTTGAACTAATTTAGCATATACTCTTCACCCACCTTCTAGCTAATGTTTACATCTTACTAGGACACAATTATCAGAATCAGTGATAACTAAACTGTAGACCTTATTCTAATTTCACTAGTTTTTCTACTTATGTCCCTTTTCTTTTCTAAGATCCCATCTAGCTTCCCACATACCAATTCAATTGCTCCTTCTCCTCAGTCTCCTCCAATCTGTGATGGTTCCTCAGTCTTTCCTTGTCTTTCAGGAGAATGAAATGATACTGTGACCTTCTCAGTATGTAACATCAAGAGGTTTATGATATCAATGTCTTATCACTAGTAATGTTTATCTTGATTGCTTGGTGAAGGTGGTGTCTGCAAAGTTTCTCCACTATAAAATTATCTTTAAAATTTCCCTTTATAATTAACAAGTATGTTGGAGAGATACCTTGAGATTATGCAAATTCCCTGTTTCTCCTCAGATTTGGCCCACCAATACTTGCATGCATCAGCAGATCGTATGTATCACAATTACTGTGGTGTTTGCTTAATGGTGATTTTCTATCTCCCCTTTTCCTTCCATGTTCATTAATGGTAACTCTTCTGTAAGAAAGAGCTGTCCCGGCCGGGCGCGGTGGCTCATGCCTGTAATCCTAGCACTCTGGGAGGCCGAGGCGGGCGGATTGTTCGAGCTCAGGAGTTCGAGACCAGCCTGAGCAAGAGCAAGACTCCGTCTCTACTAAAAATAGAAAGAAATTAATCGGACAACTAAAAATATATAGAAAAAATTAGCCGGGCATGGTGGCGCATGCCTGTAGTCCCAGCTACTCGGGAGGCTGGAGGCAGGAGGATTGCTTGAGCCCGGGAGTTTGAGGTTGCTGTGAGCTAGGATGATGCCACAGCACTCTAGTCTGGGCAACACAGTGAGACTCTGTCTCGAAAAAAAAAGAAAGAAAGAGCTGTCCCTTCTTCCCCATTTATTTATTTATTCAATTTTTTATTTCTATCAGTATGGACTCACAGATATTTATTTTATCCTATAAGTTAAAATCCAATACTATCATTATTTATTTTGTTGCTAAAACTGTTCTAGCTTTGTCCATTTAGGTTGGCTCTTGTGTTCTTTTGACAAGCCCTATCCTTTTTTGAGCAGTTCTTTATTTTCTGGCTCTACAAGGTGCTCTGGGCTCATTTTCTATTATATTTCCCCTTCCCCATCACTGGAATTAATTACTTGTCCAAGGATCCCTGGCTTATTTATTGGACAATGGTGTTTCTTAGTGTCTAAGCTAAGATGCAGGTGCTAGATGTGCTCATCGTGGCCAGGGTTCTGTCACTTCTAGGCCCTCCAAGCACACAGAGCTAGGAAAAATATATGAATGTGTACTAATCCATGGACCTTTATTTCTCTATCTACATGTATACATATTAAAAACTAAGAGTTTGTTCTAATACCTCTGATTCTAATCCAACATCACAGGATACATTTCAGTCTTTCTGTGTCTGTAACTTCATTCTTGAACAGTAAGAAACTCTGCTCTTGTTATTGACAATATATTTACTTATTAGTTTAATTCTACTATACGAATAAAACACTTTCAGAATTGCTAAGCCATAATCCTGTGAGAAACATACTAACTAACTAAATTAGAGCATAATAATTCTTTTTGTCCTAAGCCTAAAAGTATCCAGTGAAGATGCCATTTTCCAAAGTTACTTGGGCTAATTCTTTTCTTCCTCAACCCCTTCAGTGTGGTTATTATTTATTTGTAATACAGTTAGATTCAGTTGTTGAAGTTTTTATGGAAGGGCTTTTTAAGTTTTTGTTCCATGCTGTCTTGTTGAGCATTTTTGAGCAATTAAAAGGTAATATCTGGGTAAGATCAGGGAAATGTTTTTCTAGGATACTAGGCTTTAATTGCTCAGTTAGGGTCTGGTATAAATATATGAACACTGTACTGAAAGTAGATGAGTTTTTATGGTGCCCTGAGTTAACGGGATTCTTCAACTGAAAATTTATACTGCCATACTGCACAACCTCCAAATTTAAAAGTGTACTTTAAGGCAAAGGAGGGAGAAAGAAAGCAAATGACAGAAAGGTTGGTCTTGTTTTTATGATAATACTCCCAGATTAGCTCAGTCACCTTGAGCAGTAAAATCAGCAATGTGGCTTTGGGCCACTGATGGTGACGGCAGCACCCCCTCATACCTTGACCTTCTAGAGAGACTAAAACATTTAGGATCCCAGATACAGGTCTGTGGATAAAATCCAACAGTGACCTGACAGTGGTCAGGGGGACCCCCAGCACACCACCACAACTGATCACAGGAACTCAGCACCCTTTCCTTCTCCACTCACAATGTGGAAGCTGCCCTCTGGCAGTAACCAAGGTATCCTCATCAAAGGACTCCCCTATCCACCAACTATATTCTTTAAAGGCTGCTCTCCATTTAAAAGGCCAACAGCTGGTCAGATTTGAGAAAAGCAATACACTTTATGAAACTTTCTTCTGTTAAAATTCTGTTTCATAGTCCAAAGATTTTTAATTTCTCAGGGAGTTGCTATACCAGTTATAGTATCTAAAATCAAGACATCAGAAAGGCAATGTCTTTTGCCTTAATATGGCACCCCCCTTTCCCCACGTTTTCAGTTCTACAAGGCTTTGCTGGAATATTCAATTTACCCCAACTTTAGGCCCCTGCTGAGACTGTAAGTAAACCCTGAAAGTTGAAAGAGATCACAATATGAAACCATCACCCCTTTCTGTGAGCCAAAAATAGTCTTGGCAGACATTACCAATGCCACCAATATTTCCAATCCTCTACCCCATCAAAGAGGATTACATTTCCCTGCACTTTAAGGTTAGGCATGCCTATGTGTCATTTCCAGAAACATTGACGAGCCAAGGCACAATCCCCCACACGTTGACAGGGGTGTGTCTTGAGATCAAAGCAGACTGGAATGCTGAGCCACCACATGGGGGACAGCTGTGCTGGACTCTCAGTGCTCTTCTCATGAGCAAAAAGTAAATTTCTCCTGTGTTAAATCACTGAGATCTTGGTGGTGCTTGTTACTGCAGCATAACTTAGTCTATCCTGACTACTACACACAAAGTTGTATGTTGAATTTTCTATTACTCAGTCATACCTTGTACCAGAATGGAGTTAAAGGGAGGGGAAGCTTTTGTGATTGTATATCAAACAAGGGAAGATAAAGTTGAGACATTCTATTTGAATGCATGTTTAGGCTGTAAGGAAAGAAAAATAGATACCATAAAATGTCAGACATCATTGAGTGGGAAGGTCTTTGCCCTTCCTCCGTATTTTAAGCTTTGGTAATAATATATTCATTACTCATCTCTTTGAAGAGATGATGTGTCACAAAGAGGCAAGGAGGCAAGGACTATCTAAATGCCAATATATGCTTTAGATAGCACATTGCTTAAAAAAAAAAAAAAGAAAAAAGGCCTTTAAAGCAAAATATTGGCAAGATGTGGTAATGTTATTTTATTAATAATACATTTCTTTTTGGTGAGAGGTAATCTGTCTATTTGGCTGAGGTACATTTTTCATAAACACCTTATTTATCTATTTCTAGAAGTTCTTGAGAGAAATACTACAAATCAGTGTTGCTCAAACATTTGTTGAGTATCTTCTATGTGCCAGCGGTACAGTAATTGCATGCACCAAGTGTCCGTGGAGTATGAAGACAGGTCCCTAACAAAAGATGGCAATACCAGGGAAGGTTTCCTGGAGGGGTGGTTTCTGGAGCCCCAGGCAAGTTTAAAACTATGAGTATTTCTAAAGAAAGGCCAATTCTTAAAGAAATATTAGATAGGGTACGCTACCCTGGGAGGAAAATGACTCTGAGTCCCATAGACTATCCTCTCTTATTCTTTTTTTTTGTTTTTTGAGACAGGGTCTGGCTCTGTTGCCCAGGCTGGTGTGCAGTGGTGCAATCATAGCTCAGTGTAACCCCAACTCCTGGGCTCAAGGGATCCTCCCACCTCAGCCTCCCAAAGTGCTGGCTTACAGGCATGAGCCACCCCACCCAGCTATCTCATCTTCTAAGGAGAAAAGTCTTCAGTCAAAGTAGAGCTTCCCGGTGGGCCTCTGGGTGAGTGTAGGAGCACATGTGTTTAGTGGTGGCTCTGCCATCGACCTACGACACAACTCCAGGTGAGACACAGTCTCACTGAACAATCTCAAACTTCTCATTAGTAAATGTTCTTTGAAGTAGTCCCACCTAAAACATATATTCAATTTGGTTGCTCTTCCTTGGCCTGCTAATTATATGAGCAATGACTTAAAAATATCTCTAGTCTTTAAACACTTCTCAGTCTCAAAATTAACATTCCAACAAAAGAACTCTATCAAATTTCAGCAAAGGGAAAGTTTAGGTTTCTACTTTTCCTATTAGAAAATTAATTGGCTAATATTTATAGAGTATAATATTTATAGGCATAATGTGCTATATAAATGAATAATAATGAATATTTACATAACATATGACAGGCTTCTTCCCTTTTAAAAAAAAAAACAGTTGAATCTTTGCAATAAGAAATATGCACATAATTTCACAGAGGTGAAGAGAAAAGATGCTCTTGTGGGCTACCACAATCAGGGCAGGAATGGAAGGGCGGCAAAACCTCAGCCGACTGTGTAGCAGAGGAGGATGGAGGCAAGGTTTAACTAGGCTGGGGGAAAAGGGAAGAGTCTGTCAGATGGGGAATTGTTCCAGAAACGCTGAAGAGGGCACAAGAGGGCAAAGAGGAGACTAGTATGCTTAGAGCAGAGGAGTCAGGATAAAGAAAAAGCGAACAAATTCCATGAAGTCTCTGTGTGATCTTGTATCTCCAGGAATGTGCTTGGCACATAGTAGATGCTCAATACGTATTTGCTGAATGGCCCTGAGT